ATGAGAGGAGCAGCTTTAAATCTGTGGAAAGAAAATGTGTGAAGAGCTATTCAAAGAAACTAAGAAGAAATGGAAGTACAACACATAGTTATCTTTGCTTTATCAAATTTATGTATAATCAGCATCAAAAGGAATAGTTTTAATGGGGGGTGTGTGTTCATTCTCCATAAGAGAGATGCCATGGCTTCTGTAAGTCTACAGACAGACCTACAACAAATTTTAACAAAGCACAGACATGCATAATTTCCACAACTGTGAGAATTCTGCTCCACGACCAGCTTTGATTCCTTCCTACTTGGAGCTTGCTGTTACAAATTCAGGATACTGAAGATAATCTGCCAAACAGCAGAGAATTCCATGACTTATTCAAACCCAGGTTTTAGGGAGGTAGAAAACTAAAATGGGATACAGAAGAGCAAGCTAATAATAAAACTGGTGCTCATCATCAGAGAACACAAAGGATAGAGGTCAGAGAGAACCTTGATTACCTCAGTGTAGGGAGAGTCGGCATTCTGGTTGGAGCAGGCCAGTATTTTTCTACAGAGGAAGGGGAGGCAGAGGATGTCCGAAAACATTTGTGACACCCTCTGGGAATGCTCAAAAATATTTGGGGTCATTGGAAGCTCTTGTATGGCAATATAGGAAAGACACAGTACCAGCAAGAAGCAGGAAGGACAAGGGCAGGCTGCTGAGAGGGGCTTAGAGTATTTTTGCATAGACCTTAGATCAGAATAAGAAAATATCAGTAATCCAGATTTTAAAATAGGGGTGGAGATAATGCTAATGGAGATAATGAGGACAAAAGGTGGGCCTCGAAGTCCCTCTGCATGTCTCCCCTTACTGTTGGCACCTCTGCGGGAGGACTTTGCCTCTGCTGGAGCCCTGTGGTTTTACATAGAATGATAGCAATGAGACCACATTTATCCCCACAGCTTGTGAATCTGGAGGTTATTATTATGCTCGCCAAAATACTGTTAACTTGCATGTCTTTCTTCACTAACATACACTGAGCAGCTTAAAGGCTGGAACCCTATTTTGTATTAATCTCTGTAATCCCAGTGGCATAGACCAGGGCTATGGTTTATAAAAGTCCTAAGAGCTGTTACATTGCATGAAAGGGAAAGGGTACAGGGATTTAGCATTTACTGAGCACCTTCTATGTGCCAGAAAGATGACTTTACAAGTGTCATACCACTTAATCCTGTTATCAGCCCCTGGGGGAATCAGAGAGGGACCTCCAAGGGCTCAGGAGTAAGAAAGCTAAGATTGCTCTCTGAGAGATAAACTTGGAGGTCAGTGCCTATGGCTAAGTGAAGAGCTATCTTATCTCAAAGTCATCTTAAAGAGCTAAATGGCTCCTAGGCCTGAAAAATCTGATAGAATATGATTAACTACCTAATGTAACTAAGAGTTTACAGGGTTTTTCTTTCTTTATTTTTTAGAAGACTTATTTTACTGATATGAAAGGCAGAACAACATAGAGAGAGAAGAGAGAGATGGAGATCTTCCATCTACTGGTTCACTCCCTAAATGGCCACAATGGCCAGAGCTGGTCAGGGTCAAAACCAGGAGCCTGGAGTGCCATCCTTGTCACCCATGTGGGTGGCAAGAGCCCAAGTACTTAAAGCATCTTCTGTTGCCTTCCCTGGCACATTAGCAGGGAGCTGGATCAGAAGCAGAGCACCCAGGACTTGAACCAGTGCTCCAATATGGGATGCTAGTGTATAGGTGGTGGCTTAACACATTGTGCCACAATGCTGGCCCCACCAAGTTTTTCTCATGTCAGTTAATGAGAAGAATGATAAGACGTGGACATGCAGAGAAAAACAAATGCAGAGGCAAATGCTGACTCAGCCATCCAAGTACTACGATGGAGAAAAAGCCAAAGGATTCAAGCCTGGTTGGCCAGGTGGTTGGTTCCTGTTGAGAAAAACCCACCTAGCAATTTCAGCCCAATGTTGTTAAATGTTTATTTGACTCATCTAACTCCATGCTCAGCTAGCCACCCTCTGATTGTTATTTGACAGTTTACATAGGTCTGCCATGAGGAAGAGAACATACTGGTCATATGGATTGAGTTCTTTGCACTGGCCCACAATTATGACAATTATGTGACAATTATATCCCATAGCACATGAACACGTTGACATTCTGATGATTTGTCTTTCCTTGAGATCCGCCCATGGGGAGGACACAGACTGGTCATGTTGACACAAGTGGCCTCATTCCAGGATAACCATTTATTTCATTTCATAAAATAATAAACAGACCTCCAGCGTTTTTACAGCTATAGGGAACCTGGCTTTTAGTAATGACCCTGCTCTCTCAGTGCAGCCCAAGTCAGGTAGTTGAGTATATAGGACTGAGAACCAGACAGCATTTTACGGTTCTGACTGTGGAAAGTTCATGATCTGATGTCAGATACCACCTTCTGAAACATCTTAAAGAGAAGTGTCATACCTGTTTTATGGATGAGAAAATTGAGTCTAATGAATATAACTTTACCACATTCACACAGGTGAAACTTGAAGTCCGATCTATTTAATTCTTTTTTTTTTTTTTTTTGACAGGCAGAGTGGACAGTGAGAGAGAGAAACAGAGAGAAAGGTCTTCCCTTGCCGTTGGTTCACCCTCCAACGGCCGCCGCGGCCGGCGCACTGCACTGATCCGAAGGCAGGAGCCAGGTGCTTCTCCTGGCCTCCCATGGGGTGCAGGGCCCAAGCACTTGGGCCATCCTCCACTGCACTCCCTGGCCACAGCAGAGAGCTGGCCTGGAAGAGGGGCAACCGGGACAGAATCCGGTGCCCCGACCGGGACTTGAACCTGGTGTGCCGGCGCCGCAAGGCGGAGGATTAGCCTATTGAGCCGCGGCGCCGGCCTTGATCTATTTACTTCTAAAGCCTATGTTCTTGCTAGTGTGCCACATTGACTAATACTTGATATTTGTAGGTTATTTACAATCTAGAAGTAATTTTCACAACTTCTGTCTCATTTAATCATTATAGGTACTCTGAATAGTGGTAACATTAAATGAATGTAGCTTTACACTGTGTCTGGGCCAGGGCCATGAGGGATCCTCCTGAGCTGGGCTCAGTCAGGGGCGACCCCCAAACCCTTCCAGAAAGCAGTCCTGGAGACAGTCTGGCACACAAGCGCAGACATAGCCTTCAGTATCAGAGCTCCTCCCTGTCCCAGGCCACTCCTCTCCATAGCCCTCTTTTCCAATGGAAAAAGAGGAAGGCCGATCCCATTTCTCAAATAGTTCTATTCGGTAGAAATATACACCCTTGAAAGCACAGTAACTACCTATTCCTTTGGCTTATATATTCCTCAGAATCATTGCTTCAGTTATACATGTAGTCACATTCTAATCTATTCCTGCTGAATAAAATTTAGCAGCTGACTGTTGCTTTATGGTGTGGATAGATTAATCCTCAGAAAGGATTGCATTCACAGAGAGAGTTTAATGTGTGCTTTATCATTTTTTTGCTTTATTCTAGATGATTTTCTGTTAGGCAGACAACATCTCTCAGTTAAGGTATTTATGAGAAACATTTGCATCATATTGGAACGTAAAAAAGATAATAATGAGTCAATAGTTGGTCAGTGTAGTTAGTAGTTGACTGACTTATAGTTGAAGCATAAAGGAATCAAAAAACAAAGTTACTTGGTGCATTGAGCAGCAACAACATGAGCAAGCTTCAACAAGTTCATGGAAAAGTGCATATTATTATAAAACTGTGCATTTTTTGCACCATTTAGTCCCATTTCCCACAAATCTTTTGAAGTACTTTCATACTTTTTCTGTCTCCTGGCTGAGCTAGAAACCAGACTCTTCATATACTATATTGATTTAGATGATGTTTAGTTTCAGGTTAAACATAGAAACCCTTAATGTGTGAAAACAAGGATACTATCATCCCTGAGAACATACAAATTACAGAGTAGTGGCCAAACATCCTGTAAAAGTTCTTCCTAAATGACCTTAAATAAATAAATAAATAAAATGCATACAGTTTTTATGAATCCTTTTTCTGTAGCCTTTTGAATTCTGATATTCCTATGTGAAATTCAAGTGCCTATTATTTATTCATAATATCTCATGAGTCAGCCAATCGGGGATGGGACGGGAATAGAGTCATGTGAAGTCATCAAGTAATTTGATTTTGATTATCTAGTACATGATACTTAATCTGTGGAACTTATAGTGACTTTCCAGCTGGATTGTAATGCCAGTAATATTGTAATTTCTTAAAGCATTGACCACCACAGAGACACTACCAAACCACATGCTCCTCACCTGACTCTTGATAATACATACAACTGAAAGAAGGTGTAGTACCCTAATGATGGTGGGAATTGACTCTAAATAAATAAATAGTTTTAATTCCAGAGGTCCCAGAAGGGCTCTTCTGAATTTTCATATACAATGACATGTTCCTTTCAAAATGAAAGAAGCTTCACCCATATCATATTATGTAAATTCTGAAAGATGGAAATCATCAAACTATGCCTTTCTGGGCCAGGTCCTTTCACAACCAAGAAATGAATGAAAGTGAAGGAGATTTGATCATTAAACACAGCAAAATGCTTTTAGTGGCTATCACTGGAGAAACTAACACAATTTACCATTTTATTTCTATTTCTATGATTCTGCCATAGAAATCCATTTAGTGGAACAAATCCCCATAATCCAAATAATGTGTCTTAATGCTAAATACATCCAAAATGCCAGTCCTATGCTTAAGAGCAATAATCCTCCCTAGTACAATTACCTATTTGCCGTTTGAAAATAATTGCCTCTTAATTGCACCGGTACTTACATAACCAGCAATCTGAAGATGGAGCAACTCAGAAATGTTACCAGTCACTCACAACACCTGTTCCTGTAATGCCGATTCTGTGTTTTCAAACAGGAACATCTTGCTGTTTTCAACTGGTCTGGAAATAGATGTGCAAAAAAATAAAAGAAATCCACAATGAAAGGAGCTATTCCATACCTGTTCCCCTGTTTCAAAGCAAACAGCTGCTCCTTCCCATGTTCCTACGCAGAGCTGAGTGGGTCAATGGAGTCAGGTTACTTTTCATTTGTTACTCTATCAGCCAATTGGTTATCGCCCTGGAAAACATAACAGAGAGAGAATAAAACATGCATGACCATAAAGTGTGCTATTACAAGGCATCCAGTGATACCAAAATATATGCTACATCCACTCTGGGTTCTCACCAGCTGGTATGTGGCTCAGCCAAACATTACTATGGAGTGGGCTCCAGTGTTTCCACCAGGATTTACTATTGAGAAAATATGATTAGGGAGTGGGTGTTTGGCCGAGCAGTTATGATGCCTGTGTCCCACATCAGAATGCCTGGGTTCATTCAGAGATCCAAACCCTGAGTCCAGTTTCCTACTAATGCAAACTATGGAGGCAATGGTGAAGGCCCAAGTGATTGAGTTCCTGCCACCGATATGGGAGGCCTGAGTTGAGTTGCCTGCTACCAGCTTTGGACTCAGCCCAGAGACCAAAGTAAGCAATTGGAAAGTGAATTGGCAGATGGGAACTCTGTGTGTATGTGTGTGTCAGAGTGTGTATGTGTATGTGTGTGTGTGTGTCTGCCTCTCAAATAAAAATTAAAAGAAAACTGAAAGATACTTCAAAAAGTTCATTAAAAGATGTTCATTTTGGAGTAAAAAAAATTGAAATTCATGTCTATATTTTTAAAATATGCATTTTCCATGAATTTTTTGAAGTACCCTATGCTAATCTGACATGCAAATTGAGCTCTTTCAATTTTTACTTCCTTTTTCATCTCAGTCTAGTGCTTACCAGTTGATTTAGAATTCCTGGAAAGATCATGCAACATTAAAAGGAGGAAAAGTTAATTGCTCACTACAAAAACTATTTTCATATCTGCACATTTTAATTTTAGTCAAGAAGCAGTGAGACACAGTAGAGGTTTTAAGAGTTAAAGGCTCTCTTGTTAAAATAATGCTCAAATTCTCATATACAATGGAAAATCACATGAGCCAACAGTTCTATAATTTTGAGTTAAGAGTCTAAGGACTGGGAATTTCATATGGCCTAATGGTTAAGATCTCTATGTCTCACATCAGAGAGCCCAAATTCACATCTGGGCTCCTCTCCCAACTCCAGCTTCCTGCTAATATGCACCCTGGGAGGCAGCAAGTGATGGCCCACATACCTGGGTTCCTGCCAGTTATGTGGTAGACCTGGACTGAGTTTCCAGCTCCCCGGTTTCGGCCTGCAGGCCCATGCAGGCATTTGGGGAGTGAACCAGAGGATGAGAACCTTCCCTCTCTCTCAAATAAATAAATAGCCCCAGAAACTGGAAAAAGTAACAAATCAGACAGATGTGTGGGGTTTGAATTTGGCACAGTGGGGTCTGGCTATCCAGGCTGAAGGTGCAGTTTGTGCACTGTTTTCTCAGTATGACAGGAAGCAAAACCCAAGGCAATACTGTGTGAATATTTTAGAGCACTTTCGCCTCTAGAGGGCATTGGTTTTTCAGATACCAAGGAGTAATAGACTATTTCTCCTAGATTCAGATTTCCAGCCAGAGTTTAGAAAATGGCCCATCATGATGCAGAGAAATAGTAAAAGGAAAAAAGAAAACACTAAGTAGATTTAGAACAAAATGCCCCAGATCCAGCATCATGTCAGCTGAAGGACAGGGGCCTTTGAAGAATTGAAAACAATTGCTGTGTTAATACAGTGAGACTATGGGTCACTTTTTAAAATAATTAGTTTGTATCAATTCAGTTTAATAATTATTTTTAGTAAAATCCATTATTCTCCTACAATTAGTCCTCTCAAACTACTAAATTTTAATTTTTAAGGATTGCATAACCCATTCACTTAAAATAGTATTACACAACTGTGGGATGCAATGGAACCATAGGTGTGTTGCAAAGAGAAAGCACAGTTTCTGCTGTTCATCTATTCTTTTACCACTTGGCCATGCAGTGGATCCAGGCACTGGACTAAGTGCTAGGAACAAACTGATAAACAAAACCAAACATAGATTCTGGGATTGTGGACCACATATCTACAGTCTTCCAAAAAGAGACAGAGAGTCATCCAGTGACCACGTAGATAAGTGGCACGATGAGAGTCTGGAGAGAGGGTTCAAAATCATTTAAATCAGGGCCAGAGAAAGATGAAAGCTTCCTTAAACAAAACAACCCAACAGAGATCTACAAAGAATGAGATGAGAGGGCTGCCTGAAGGAGCAAATAGGAGGGTGCTTCAAAAAGTTTGTGGAAAAATGGAATGAAAAGGATGAGTTCATTTTGGTGCAAAAAATGTTCATAATACCTGGAAAATGTGTATTAGGAAAAATATGCATGGATTTCAAAATTGTTTTTTCACCCAAATAAACTTTTTCAGTTCATTCCATTGTGGATCTGGTATAAAAGGCTCTTTTCTGGGTCCCTTGCGCCGTGTCATTCCCTGCACAGCCTCAGGACTGTGCAGAGTCCCCACCAGGTGCAGCTTCTTGACCTGGGGCCTCCCAGGCTCCAGAGCTTTTATTCTGCATAAATATTCTGCATAAATTGTGGCATTCAGTTATAGCATCAGAAGCCAGACAAAGATGTCATTTTGTGCCTACATATATATATATATACACACACACATATATATATATATATATATATATATATATATATATATATAGGATTTCTGACAGATCATTCAAAGACAGTCAGAGATCAACAGCACTATATTCCACTTAACCAGGCGAAGCTTTCTCTAAGCAGTGAGTTTCAAATGATGTTTGTAAAAGTAAATAATGCATGGTGAGCATATAAACAATTCTTTGATGCAAAATTCATTAAATTATTTTAAAAGCATTGCCAAGTGAATCATCCTTGTTTTGAAGAAGAGAACTTCAAAGATCTTCCAAGATTGGATCAAAAAGGCCTTTCCACAAAGTAGAAAATAGGAGACAGAATCATATTGGGGGTTGGGGGCATACATGCTAATTTTCCTAGTGTACTCAATTTATGAGGTCTTATAGGAACTGTTTATATAACTCTCTCAATTATTAGGGTTAGGGTAGTTATAAGAAGTGGCTAGTGGTGCCGGTGCTGTGGTGTAGCGGGTAAAGCCACTGCCTGCAGTGCTGGCATCCCATGTGGGCGCCGGTTCGAGTCCCATCTGCTTCCCTTCCGATCCAGCTCTCTGCTATGGCCTGGGAGAGCAGTAAGAAGATGGCTCAGGTTCTTGGGCCCCTGCATCTGTGTGGGAGACCTGGAAGATGCTCCTGGCTCCTGGCTTCCAATCGGCACAGCTGATTGGGGAATGAACCAGCAGATGGAAGACCTCTCTCTCTCTTCCTCTTCCTCTCTTTCTCTGTGTAGCTCTGACTTTCAAATAAATAAATATTTCTTTAAAAAAAAAGAAATGGCTAGTATATTAGCATAGAATCTGTAGTGGGCACTGAGTGACTTACTTGAATATTCAACAATCAAAACAATTTAACATACAAGCATTAGAGTACTTACTTGTATGCATGGATTTCCAAAATTTTTGCACCACAATAAACTTATCTTTTAATTCCATTTTCCATGAACTTTGCTAGTATCCTCACAGTCTTTCATTCAAATTTCATATCTCAGCAGGCTCAAACACCACTCCTTTTGAACATGGAATGTACAAGGAAGCCTAATACCAATCATGAATCCTAATCCAAAGACCACTCAAAGTGATGAACAAAAACATTATGACTGCTATCATTGTTACTATTTTTATTACTTCTCTATGTTATTGTTATTATAATAATATATTATAATATTATTATTATATGTGGAATTCATGCTTTCACTTTGTAGATTTCAGAGGGATAAATCATCAGGTCAAGATTCACTGTGTTGCATGTTCACTAGCATTTGACCTAGCAGTTAGGTTTCCAGTTAAGACACCTGAGTCCCAGTGGGAATGTCTGGGTTCTGTGGCTACCTCCTGTTTCTGACTCCAACTTCTTGCTGATGCAGGTCTTGGAAGGAAGCAGTGATGGCTCAAATGCAATGGTTCCTGCCACTCATGTGGAATCGAGTTCCTGGTTCGAATCGATTGAGTTCTTGGCTTCCAGCTTTGGCATTGGCCAAGCTTTAGCCATTATGGGTATTTGAACCAGCAGATGGGGCTGTTCTTCCCTTGCAAAAATAAGTAAGTTTAAAAAGTTTTTTTTTTAATGATTCATTGTGTAGCATTAACACAGAAAGGAAAAATGCAGGTAATTGTTTTGTGTAAAATGAAACCATACATTATTACTGCAGTGGTATCTTGGCAATTCTTCAGTAAAATCAAGTGTTTATGTTTCACAAGATCAATTCTTTTTTTTTAAAGATTTATTTTATTTATTTGAAAGACAGAGTTACAGAGAGAGACAGAGACAGAGAGAGGGGTCTTCCATCCGCTGTGTCACTCCCCAGATGGCCAAATGGCCGGAGCTGAGCTGATGTGAAGCCAGGAGCTTCTTCTGGATCTCCCACGTGGGTGCAGGGGCCCAAGGACTTGAGCCATCTTCTACTGCTTTCCCAAGCCATAGCAGAGAGCTGGATCTGAAGAGGAGCAGCCAGGACTAGAACATGGGATGCTGGTGCTTCAGGCCAGGGCTTTAACCCTCTGCACCACAGCGCCAGCCCCACAAGATCAATTCTTATTATGTTTCATAATTTTCCAAAGTTAAAAATGTCCCTTCTAAAGTGAATTTACAAAGGGGATGAAATCTTACTGTGCTGACATTTATAAATATATAGAAAGCATAGAATCATAGAAACCTTAAGTTAGACTGAAATTCTCTAGAATCACTTGGAAAGACTTTGAGATTTGTCATGCCTGGGGCCTACCCAGATTACCCTAAAGCAGAATCTTGCAGAGTGGGGCCAGCTGGGGCGTTTTTGTGGCTTCCTAGGTGGTTCCAAAGACCCACCATTCCTCTGAGGGCACAAAGCAGACAGTGGCGCGCTCTTCAGTTCAGCAATGTGGAAGACACCTGCTGAGCAGGCAGCTCTCTGGAGGAATTTTCCATTGCCTGGGTTTCCTATGAAAATATCTCCTGAAGATAATGGCATCCATGGGATTATTTGGTTTTGCA